CCAATGACTCGAGCAAACCGTTAGGCTGGTAAATTTGGACCTGAAACCATGAGTTCTATCCCAGTTGACTTCCATGAAAGTGCCCAACAGAAGCTCATGTGCAGCTTCAGGTTTCCTCTCTGCAGGAGGCTGGCTTCTCTTTGTCATGTTTTCATTAGCAGCTGATTTGACTGTCGCGTGACACGCAGCCGGAGAGATTATCGGCCTCCTCGGCTGTCAGGAACGTGACCCCGGCTGTCACCAACACATCCCTGGTGACCACACTCTCACCAGCCGCCGGCCAACATGAAGGAGGGGTTATTTGAATTATGTCTGGATGCTGTGATCATTTATCTGAGGAGGTTTCGGGATGTCATGGGGATTTGCATCTTGGCATTATTCCGGGAACTTGTAGGAGCACGACATGTTTTCGGTCACTGGGTTTTTTGTAGCAGCTCAACTAGAGCAGAACAAAAACAAATAACTAAAGCAGGACGTCTGTAGTGTAGCTCACAGCTGCTAGTATTATTACGCAGTCATTTGTTCTCCTCTGATTTGACAGTTGTCATGCCATCTTGCTTTCTTTGCAGGAGTGCATTCAGTGTATTAAGCATTTCATCTCATCAGCGTTCAAAATGATGCTTTCTTCATTTCAAGGTCCCAAAGTTCTTGTCGCCCTGCCCGGTGTGAACTTTATTGAAATGCCTTTGCTCTTCGTTGTGATGAGTCTCCCGCAGTGCATTGTGGGTGTCAGAGGTGTGACAGCAGAGGTGTCCCATCAGCGGTTAGAGGCAGAGGAATGCGGAGTCGGCCATCTGTCCTCCTGCCCGGAGCTTCTTTAATGGCCTCATGCAGGGCCAGTTGTTTTCTCCTCCTGTTCACACCAGCTCTGGCATTTTGTTCGGAGCTTACAGCTTTATAACGCCGACCATTTGGTCGACGCTCGGTGCAAAAGCTTTCTCAAACTGACAAGTATTTTTAGTTTAGGAGACAAACACCAAGCCTTGCTCTACACAGTTAAAAGTGTACACATGTTATCTGATTACGTGGTGATTCATTCAATATGATTCTAACTGTAAAGCTTTGTAGGTGTCTATATTTTTACATTTTCATTGTTGTATAATCTGATTATTATTGTCCTGGTTTTTCTTATTGTCAGTGAAATGTCTGGAAAAAAGTTAGTTGCCATAGTCTGACTTTTAACGGAGTTTTAAAACATTAATTTGAGAATCACTGAATGTCAGAAACAAATTAATCATAATTCTAGTTGGATAGGTAAATCCTTTATATCAACAATGTGACCTTCTACAATTGGGGAGAAAAGGTGCACCATGTTATTTAGGTTTGACACAGTTCTATTCTTTAGCCTCTTGTCCGTCCCAAAGACTCCCGGAGGTGACCGTCTGCGTACGGTTGTGGGTCAGCAGAGTCATGAGGCAGAAGCTCCTCTGTTGATCCGGTATGAGAACTCTTTTATGTGGTCTCCCGCTGCTGCCTTCACAGAGGGGTCAGGGGTCAAAGTTCAGGGTCGGGAACAGAGTGGCGCCGCTGGTGCTGTCGGTGTCTCGATCTTATGAGATCACGGGATCTAGAAGCGTCCAGATCCCATCCTCTTTGTCATCTTTTTTGAAAGTTTCTTTTTTAAAATGATATATAGTTTTGACTCTAGACTTATATGAACATTTTCAACCACAGACATTCAGTATCTAATTTGTCAGTTTTACTTTTTTTGTAAACTATATTATGTTTTTCTTACGATAAAGATTATAGTTACGGAGCTTGCTATAATATTTGGACAGAATGAAAGCAGCGTAGCACAGTGGACGCCGGTGATGAATGTGCGGCATCGAACCGGCTGTGTGCAGGTGTCCTGAGCAGAGTGGTGAGGTGGCAGCGTGGTGTGAGCTGCGATGGATCCGTGTTGACTTAGCAGTTGTGTTTACTGTCAAACTTGAATGGATCATAACAGAGCCGACTTTCACTGAAACTCAGTCAGGAAGCTCTGTCCCGGTATCGTCTATTCTCCCTCCCATTGCACAGACACATTCTCCCTGTGGCCTGTAAATATGATTTTAATTGCTGTCAATAAAAGCTGCACAATTAGTCGAAATTGTGTCAAACCTTCAATAGAGTGGTGCAAAAACCCTGAAATGAGTCCCCATTTTAGCTTAGCGGTGGTGACGTGAAGTCATGTGACCGTGCTGTAGTTCCTTTATAGCCCAACATTAGCCACCTTTAGCTTAGCGGTGGTGACGTGAAGTCATGTGACCGTGCTGTAGTTCCTTTATAGCCCAACATTAGCCTCCTTTAGCTTAGCAGTGGTGACGTGAAGTCATGTGACCGTGTTGTAGTTCCTTTATAGCCCAACATTAGCCTCCTTTAGCTTAGCAGTGGTGACGTGAAGTCATGTGACCGTGTTGTAGTTCCTTTATAGCCCAACATTAGCCTCCTTTAGCTTAGCGGTGGTGACGTGAAGTCATGTGACCGTGCTGTAGTTCCTTTATAGCCCAACATTAGCCTCCTTTAGCTTATCGGTGGTGACGTCAAGTCATGTGACCGTGCTGTAGTTCCTTTATAGCCCAACATTAGCCTCCTTTAGCTTAGCGGTGGTGACGTCAAGTCATGTGACCGTGCTGTAGTTCCTTTATAGCCCAACATTAGCCTCCTTTAGCTTAGCGGTGGTGACGTCAAGTCATGTGACCGTGCTGTAGTTCCTTTATAGCCCAACATTAGCCTCCTTTAGCTTAGCGGTGGTGACGTGAAGTCATGTGACCGTGCCGTAGTTCCTTTATAGCCCAACATTAGCCGCCTTTAGCTTAGCGGTGGTGACGTGAAGTCATGTGACCGTGCCGTAGTTCCTTTATAGCCCAACATTAGCCTCCTTTAGCTTAGCGGTGGTGACGTCAAGTCATGTGACCGTGCTGTAGTTCCTTTATAGCCCAACCTTAGCCTCCTTTAGCTTAGCGGTGGTGACGTCAAGTCATGTGACCGTGCTGTAGTTCCTTTATAGCCCAACATTAGCCTCCTTTAGCTTAGCGGTGGTGACGTGAAGTCATGTGACCGTGCTGTAGTTCCTTTATAGCCCAACATTAGCCACCTTTAGCTTAGCGGTGGTGACGTGAAGTCATGTGACCGTGCTGTAGTTCCTTTATAGCCCAACATTAGCCTCCTTTAGCTTAGCGGTGGTGACGTCAAGTCATGTGACCGTGCTGTAGTTCCTTTATAGCCCAACATTAGCCACCTTTAGCTTAGCGGTGGTGACGTGAAGTCATGTGACCGTGCTGTAGTTCCTTTATAGCCCAACATTAGCCTCCTTTAGCTTAGCGGTGGTGACTTGAAGTCATGTGACCGTGCTGTAGTTCCTTTATAGCCCAACATTAGCCACCTTTAGCTTAGCGGTGGTGACGTGAAGTCATGTGACCGTGCTGTAGTTCCTTTATAGCCCAACATTAGCCTCCTTTAGCTTAGCGGTGTTGACGTCAAGTCATGTGACCGTGCTGTAGTTCCTTTATAGCCCAACATTAGCCACCTTTAGCTTAGCGGTGGTGACGTGAAGTCATGTGACCGTGCTGTAGTTCCTTTATAGCCCAACATTAGCCTCCTTTAGCTTAGCGGTGGTGACTTGAAGTCATGTGACCGTGCTGTAGTTCCTTTATAGCCCAACATTAGCCTCCTTTAGCTTAGCGGTGGTGACGTGAAGTCATGTGACCGTGCCGTAGTTCCTTTATAGCCCAACATTAGCCGCCTTTAGCTTAGCGGTGGTGACGTGAAGTCATGTGACCGTGCTGTAGTTCCTTTATAGCCCAACATTAGCCACCTTTAGCTTAGCGGTGGTGACGTGAAGTCATGTGACCTTGCTGTAGTTCCTTTATAGCCCAACATTAGCCTCCTTTAGCTTAGCAGTGGTGACGTGAAGTCATGTGACCGTGTTGTAGTTCCTTTATAGCCCAACATTAGCCTCCTTTAGCTTAGCAGTGGTGACGTGAAGTCATGTGACCGTGTTGTAGTTCCTTTATAGCCCAACATTAGCCTCCTTTAGCTTAGCGGTGGTGACGTCAAGTCATGTGACCGTGCTGTAGTTCCTTTATAGCCCAACATTAGCCTCCTTTAGCTTAGCAGTGGTGACGTGAAGTCATGTGACCGTGCTGTAGTTCCTTTATAGCCCAACATTAGCCTCCTTTAGCTTAGCGGTGGTGACGTCAAGTCATGTGACCGTGCTGTAGTTCCTTTATAGCCCAACATTAGCCTCCTTTAGCTTAGCGGTGGTGACGTCAAGTCATGTGACCGTGCTGTAGTTCCTTTATAGCCCAACATTAGCCTCCTTTAGCTTAGCGGTGGTGACGTCAAGTCATGTGACCGTGCTGTAGTTCCTTTATAGCCCAACATTAGCCTCCTTTAGCTTAGCGGTGGTGACGTGAAGTCATGTGACCGTGCCGTAGTTCCTTTATAGCCCAACATTAGCCGCCTTTAGCTTAGCGGTGGTGACGTGAAGTCATGTGACCGTGCCGTAGTTCCTTTATAGCCCAACATTAGCCACCTTTAGCTTAGCGGTGGTGACGTGAAGTCATGTGACCGTGCTGTAGTTCCTTTATAGCCCAACATTAGCCTCCTTTAGCTTAGCGGTGTTGACGTCAAGTCATGTGACCGTGCTGTAGTTCCTTTATAGCCCAACATTAGCCACCTTTAGCTTAGCGGTGGTGACGTGAAGTCATGTGACCGTGCTGTAGTTCCTTTATAGCCCAACATTAGCCTCCTTTAGCTTAGCGGTGGTGACGTGAAGTCATGTGACCGTGCCGTAGTTCCTTTATAGCCCAACATTAGCCGCCTTTAGCTTAGCGGTGGTGACGTGAAGTCATGTGACCGTGCCGTAGTTCCTTTATAGCCCAACATTAGCCGCCTTAGCTTAGTGGTGGTGGTGCAGTAAAGACTTGTGACCTAAAATGGTGTTAATATGTGGAGATTTCTGAACAACATGTCTGCTTGGTGCCCCCTCTCACTGTGTTGTGTCTCCGTGTCTGCAGGTCTGGACGACAGCCTGCAGCAGTACATGCCGGCCCTCCAGCGACAGCAGGTGGACGGGGAGAAGCTGCTGAGGCTGTCCCACCAGGAGCTGCTGTCTCTGGGCCTGACGCGGGTCGGACACCAGGAGCTGGTGCTGGAGGCTGTGGATCTGCTCTGTGCACTGGTCAGTCACACACAGCTTGACACACACACACACACACACACACACACACTGTTTCATCAGGATGGGTGTTAGGGAATACGTCTCACAGCTCAGTATGAAAGAACATGCTGAATCAGCTATTAGCGGTTTCTGTTTGCATTGTAAACACAGAAAGTCACCGGAGTACTTCTGATACTGACGGAGGAAAAATGTGCAATGAGAGAAGTTAAATATGTGTATTATGCATAAAGGAACACTAATATCATCCTGTTTCTTGTGGTGAAGTGTCCCTTTAACGATGTTCTCATCAGATCCACAGTGATGAGTTTGTTTAATGTTGTGGTTTCTCACTGTGCTGATGATTCGTCGTGTAGGAGCTAGGATCACCTGACTCGCGTGGTTTAGTTCAAAGTCAAAAACTGACTGACTGACAAATCCACAGTTCATTTCACCACCTGTCGAGAAGTTATTCTTCGTGCCCTAACATCTGTCTTCTGTTACACCCCAACAAAATGTGAGGAATCAGAAGCAGCTTCGCACATTCACGACTTCAAGTATCAGCGCGTTATAATTATAATAATGCATTAAAAAAAATTATTAGAGCGCTTTTACAGGTGCTCAAAGCGCTCTACAAGTACACATTACACATGTAAGAGTCATTACTGCGGACATTACCCACAGGAGCAAATGCGGGTAAAGTGTCTTGCCCAAGGACACAACGGCCTGACGCAGTGGCGGCCGAGGCGGGATTCGAACTGGAGTTCACCAACGCCCCTTGATCTGATGACCAACGCTCTGACCACTGCACCAAAACCACCCCATAATCCCGTTATCTGAATCTATTTAGACTCCAGAAGCTAATAAAAGTCCTATATATATATATATATATATATGTAAGCTGCAGTCTGTACGGTCACGTTATTATACCTAAACCCAAGTGAAGGGACATTGTTCTTTATTTATAACACAAAACATGTTACGTGCAGCTGCAGAGAAGCTCTTCCTAAAAGTGTGAAAGTGTTGAATGTGAGCGTCCGGCCCCTGAAGCTTCATGTCCGTCACATTGTCTGACAGCAGGCCTGGCTCTGCTGCCAGAGAATGTGCTGATGTAAATAAAATGCACGCTGTTAAATCATTATCAGATCTGGCAACACGCCCACACTGCTGGCTCCAATACTGCTTCTCTGCACTTCCTCCTGCACGGAGGTTTGGTTTGTTTGTTGGAAAGAAAGTTTAAAAGAGAAGTCCTAAAACCCGGAAGTAAGTTAGCATTTTACCACTTCCTGTTCCCTCGTCTCAGAGCCAATGGGATCTCTCCATAGGGTTTTGGAAACTAGCTGAACTAAGGTCTGTGGTTGAGACGCATTGAAGAGACGGGTCACGTTTTGTTCTAGGACATTAAATCATCAGCAGTGACCCCACTGTGATTTCTGAAGAGTGGACGTGTCTGAGAAACGATGGTTGTTACCAAGTGGCTGAATAGGACTACAGAAGTCGTGGAGGCCGTTGTACGTCATTACGCCGAACACGTGAACACTCCTCTGAGTTAGTTTCTGTTCTGCTTGAAAGCAAGTCCCTGCCTCCTGCAGACTGTTCAAACAAACGCTTCAACTCGTTCCATCTAGAGTCTGTGTGTTTGAATCTGGATCTGAAGTCAGCGTGACGTTGAAGTCGTGCTGCTGGACTCGCTGTAGCTCCTTTGTAGCATCACGTTAGCATTTTGCTTCTGGCGACTAGATTTATGATTAGAAAATGATAAAAGTAGACATGTGGAGATGATCCGGCTGAACAAAACGTGATCCGTCTCTTCAATGTGTTTCAACCACAGACCTGATTTCCAGCTATTTTCCTAAACCCTACGGAGAGACTGCGTTGCTTTTTGTCGAAGGAACCGGAAGGAGTTGACTTCCGGGCTTTAGGACGCGGCACTGCGGCTCTCCATTCAGAGACATTTCAAATATTTAGTTTCAGTGTTAGAACTGAAACTAAATTATGTGGACAATCATTGGAAGTGGCATTGCAAACGTGTTTTTAATACAATAATAAATACTTTACAAGCTTAGATTAGACTAGATAACCTTTTAACACATGAAATGAAAACATAAATAAGTGTGTGTGTGTGTGTGTGTGAGATCCAGACTCTCTGCTGTTATCAGACACTCTACTACTGTTTAAAGTTGTATCAGTGACGCTTGGTGAATCATTTACTCCCGTATCAACTGAACTGATTATCTGACTTCCAACAGGTGATGTTTGGTTTCTGCATTTCTATGGCTTTAAAATGTTAAACCTTTAAAAGGATTCTTGACATTGTGAGCAGAAGCAGAATGCTCCAGGGAATCAGAATCCTTAACATATCTATTGTAGGTGTAGGGAGGGAATAAACGACGGTTTGGAGGGGATTATTTAGCTGCGGGACTTATCGTTTAATCAGTAAATGAAAAACGTGCTGATGAGCTGAGAGAAGTTGTGTCTGATATGACTCAGTTGGTTGGAAATCAAATGTCCTCGTTATCTTGAAGTAAAACAGATGCAGTCTTCTGGTTCTCACTGACGTGTATGTGTCGCCTGTTTGGAACGAGGACCTACATTAACCCAATATATTCTTCCAAAATCACCGGTTAAGTTATTTCAAATTAATTTCTGTATTTGCATTTTTAACTGACTCTGATTGGTGCATATTGTTGCAGCTGTGGAGTAAGTATTCAGACCTTTTTCTCAAGTTAAAGTACTAAAACCACACTTTAGGAAATACTACATTACAAGTTAAAGTATGTGAGTGGATATGTGTTGTGTAGTTAAAATGTGTACTTAAGAACAAGTGAATTCAGATTTGATGATTATATTCAAATGTCTCTGTTTCCTTCCTCTCTTTTGTCTCTCTGTTTTTGACGAGCCAGTTTAAAGACATTCATTAATCGTCTGTTTCATACATTTGGATAGAAACTCCAGGTCACTAAAGCAAGGCAGCGTCACACACGACTCTGTTTGTGCCGAGGTTCCGGAAGGAGACTTTGGTGAAGCTCGTTGACTCATCAAAACGTTACTCATCTGTGACCAAATCAAACTTAAGGTTTCCTCGCTGGCTTTTTCAAGGTCTGTGTAGCTTTCTCAGGAACTGGAACTACCCGAGGAGTCGTTATGAGACGTGTGCAGATCGTGGACATGACATCAGAGCCAACATGAATACAATCTTTCATCAGCAGCAGCTCCGGCTTCCTGTTAGACTCTATAGAAGGTCGAGGGACGTTGCTGTGGATATTCTGCTCTCTGGTGTGCAGCAGGAAACAGATGTGACCCCTCCCACCTGTCAGAGACCCCTTCCCCTGACACACACACACACACACACACACACACACACACACACACACACACACACACACACACACACACACACACACACACACACACACACACACAGTCAAGTATTGTTCCAGCAGCAGTTTCCGCTGGCTTTCAGAGGATCATTTTTTCACCTGAAACACTTTCAGATATATTTGATAAAAGAGCAGTCATGCTGTTTACAGTGCTGAGTCGTTAACAACGACTCCCTGAACGCAACACACAATCTGAGGGCCGTGTTGTTTTAAGTGTTGAAGAAGATAAATCTCCTGGTTACCGTTATCTGCTGAATAAGCTTCAAAACTACAGGTCATGTCTCGGAGTCAGTTCCTGCAAAAAGGACAAACATGTTCTGATTCCAGATCTGTACATTTGAAGGTTTGATGATTCTCTTCGTAATAAATGTTAAAGAACTGAATATCTTTAGGTTTTGTGCTTTTGGTTGGAAATAACTAAACATCTAAACATGTCACCTTCGATATTATGACAGCGCTTTTTATTATTTTTTATTTTGAACAAACACGCTTGCTGATCCCAGCTGAAGATCGGATCATCGTGTTGTTATGGGTTTTACTTGTAATTGTTCATTAGTAAGGCGAGATTCCGAGTCAGACTTATTGACGGTCTCACTCCAGCAAAGCTCTAACTTCCGTTCTGATTGACACATTTGATCCTTGTACATCAAATAGGATTTCGACCTGAAACATGATTCTGAACTCTCTGCCAGGTGGCGTGTTTTCTTAAAGTGGATCTATGTTTTTTTTAGCGTGAATTGAGTCCACAGGGGCAATGTCAGTTTGGCTGCAGATGTTTTCATTGGCTCTGAGCGTCACAACGCCTCAAACATGTGGCGAGTAATCACAGATCCTGTTCAGGTCTGTGCAGAGAGTCTGATCTGCTGCCATTATTAATGCGTTGAACAGTATAAAGTACCTCGGTCATAACTGAACCTAAGTACAGCACTTGTTACTTTGCAGCTAGGCTGAAACGTGTTAAAAAGCCCTATAATGTGGGTTAGGCTGAAAGCTGGTTGGCTCTGTTGTGATTGGTTAACCGCTTAGAGATGTCCCGCCCCTTAGCCGATCACATACAATGTGTTGGAGAGCTAGTGTTTCGTAGTGATGTCACTGTGTTTCAGGAAGTAAAGAAAGGAGTCCACTGGCGTTCCTGGCAAGGGAGAGAAACGCCTTCTGGATTGATAAGGGATTTTAGCCTCTGCAGACCATTTACATGCACTACAACTACAGGAGGAGAGGGAAACAAACAAAAGCAGAATAGGGCCTCTTGATTCTTGAACCATTCATTTTTGTAACCATAGTCTGCTTCATTATATTTCATTTTTATTGGTCATATGTCACATAAGCTCACTCTGGGTTTGGATGTCATTTGAGTGATGTGGTCGGTGTGGAATATCTCAGTCCCATCATTGCTGTGTGTGTGTGTGTGTGTGTGTGTGTGTGTGTGTGTGTGTGTGTGTGTGTGTGTGTGTGTGTGTGTGTGTGGTGTGTGTGTGTGTGTGTGTGTGTGTGTGTGTGTGTGTGTGTGTGTGTGTGTGTGTGTGTGTGGTGGTGTGTGTGTGTGTGTGTGTGTGTGTGTGTGTGTGTGTGTGTGGTGTGTGTGTGTGTGTGTGTGTGTGTGTGTGTGTGTGTGTGTGTGTGTGTGTGTGTGTGTGTGTGTGTGTGTGTGTGTGTGTTGTGTGTGTGTGTGTGTGTGTGTGTGTGTGTGTGTGTGTGTGTGTGTGTGTAATATTGAAGCAGCCTGACACCCTGTAAGCATCACTCTGTGTTGCCACTGGCTGCAGCTTCCTGTGAAAATGTTGGCTCCACAAAGTCTTGGAAACAAAGTGCAGTGTTGCCAATAGGGCTGCTCGATTAATCGTATTTTAATCGCAATTACGATTTTGGTTTGCAACGATTATGAAAACAACGTAATCGAAATAAAACGATTTTTTTTAAAAATTATTTTTAAATTATTATTTTATTTATTTTTCAGTTGAATTATTCTTAAAGTTCAGGGTAATCAAATGTTAAAAACATACTCTTCACATTTTTCTTTTCAATAAATGGATGTTTTCAAAGTAAATGGATAATCGTTTTTTAATAATCGTGATATCAATTATTGACCCAAATAATCGAGATTCAGATTTTTGCCATAATCGAGCCAACCCTTAAACCGAAAGTACCGAACATTAGCTCCAAAGGTCCCTGGATGATGTCATGCACTCATTTGCATATTGGACTTCATGACTCATTCATTTGCATTTAGCTTAGTGGTTGTTGGAGAGGGAGACACTCCATCCTGTTGTAAGAATCAAGATATTAAACAGATGCATTTCTATATATTTGTTTGCTTTATCCTGATTGAAAAATCTAAGCTTTGGGATAATCAAGAATCAACTGTATATATTGAAAAGTACTTTAAAATGAGAAGCCAGATCTTCTTGTCTGGAGCTCCTCATATTAAAGCTCTTTTCTATCATGTTGTAGATGTATTATCTTTTTAATCTCTACACATGACATCTACTGCACGTCTGTCCGTCCTGGGAGAGGGATTCTCCTCTGTTGCTCTCCCCGAGGTTTATTACATTCCCCCCGGGTTTCTTTGGGAGTTTTTCCTGCGAGGGTCTTAGGACAGAGAGTGGTGTATGCTGTACACTCTGCAAAGCCCCCTGAGGTTAATATGCAACAAGGAACATGTGATTGATTGAATTTAAAGCATGTTTTCTTTATATACGTTGTACAGAACTTGGGTGTGGAGAAGGACACCCTGAAGACGTTGGTGGGGAAGATGCGAGCGGCGCACAGCAACCTGAACACGGCGGTGTCGGAGCGCAGGAAGAACCCCGCCTACCACAGCAAGATCTCCCATCAGCCCTCCAACGAGTTCCTGACGGCCGTGATGGAGCTGATCGGCGCCGCCAAGAGTCTGCTGTCCTGGCTCGACAGGTACACACTCCGTCCTGCAGGTTATATCACAACAACTCCCTCACAAGCTCCAAGAAACCCTTCAAAACTACTCACCTGTTCTCTGTTGCTTTCAACCTATAATCCTCTACCCCACCCCCCTCCTTCTACTTAGCTCAGGACTGTTTTTGTTGTTATGTATTTTCTTGTATTTTGTTGTAAAGCGTCTTTGAGCACTGGGAAAAGCACTATGTAAATATTATGTATTATTACACCTGTGTCCTCTGAAGTGAGTGTCCTGCTTCACAGAAAAACAAGAAGGTGTTAAATTGCACTGTCCCATAAACCATCACTCACACACACACACTCGCACACACACATACTCTCACGCACACACACACACACTCAGATATCTTGTTAACATGTGTGGTGGTGTGTGTGTCAGCTGTCAGTCTCTCTGTCTGCTGTTTGACTCCTGCAGGTTTCTCTCGGCTTGTTTCAGCTTGAAGAACATTCCTGCTCACTGCAGCTGTCACACACACACACACACACACACACACACACACACACACACACACACACACACACACACAGACACGTTTATGCACTGACGCCTAAAACACACCTGACATCTGTCGTGTGGCAGAGCACACCTAACACCTGGACTGGGGTTCAAAAGCATTACATTCAACCTGAATCTAGAGGCAAATCAGAAGAATTAGAATACTCGGTTTATATATATATATATATATTTATATATATATATATAAATATATATATATATATTTATAATGTAAATATATACATATATAAACATAAGAAGTTAAAGGAGGGGTAGGTAATTGACTTCAGAAACACTTGTTGTTATATTCCATGGAATGCTCTTAACATCCCGATAGCAATAAATATATGAAGTGCTTTGACAATAAAAGTCATCTGTGGAAGCCGTGGCGCTGTAAAAAGCTCGACCAATCATCTGAGCCGGCTAAAGTAACTGGATGGCCTACCTGCCTGTCAGCCTTCCATCTGGGCACACACTCATCTCGTGCCCTCATTGGTCATGTGCGCGTTCGTGTGTGTTGGAGGAGGGGCTCTGTGAGGAAGTGGCAGATCTTTTCCGGTTGTGTATTTTCAAATTCTAGCGCACTTGAGCTGCTTTCTCCATTCTTACCTACCCTACCTTTAAGTAAAAATTAGCAATAAAATGTCCAGATCAATAAGAACTTAAGTAGGGTCAGTTCGACCAACTTGCTCCAAACATTACAGCTTCTTAATCAAATCATTGAAAAGCAAATTGAGATGTTTATTAGCAGCTGCGTTTAGTTTGGCGTCTGGACTCCGACCTCATCTCTCCCCAAACCAACATTGTCTCCGTGTTTCCAGAACTCCTCTGACGAGCTCCAACGACTTCACCTCCACCAAGAGCCGAATCATCCAGCTGTGCCTGGAGCTCACCTCCACCGTGCAGAAGGTCAGTGCATCTGCTCCAATAAACCTCATCCACATCTGAGGCTGTGATGTCTCCTGTGTTAACGAGACACCAGAGACGGAGAGAAGCTCCTGACCTCTCGTGTTTTCACCCCGGACTGATTATCTCAGGCTTTGATTCTGATAATGACTTCTGTTTACAAGTACAAAGTCCTTTTGAAGACGATTCCCTTCCAGATATCAGCATTACCAAAACAAGCAAGAACAAGAGGGACATTTCAAATGTTATATTCTTAATCTATTCATCACCATTTATTTGATTTATTATATTTGTTTATATTGTATTATATATATTTGTCAAAAGATATATCAAGTATCATTTTCAAATATACATTATTGAAAAAACAATATGGCTCTTCAGGTCGTGCACATGTCCACAGACTTTCACACGTGTAAAAGGCAATGCATTACAAGAACGAACACAGACGACGGGTTCGGGTGAATATAATCATTCGTGTGTTTAGTGACGCTCGTTAAAGAGGGCCAGCTGCAGAGCGTCTGCAACAAGTGTTTGTTTACAAAGAAACTCAGAGCATCCAAAGTGCAGGAAAGAGGTGTTGAACCCAAGCCCCCAGGAAGTGCGCCGGACTCTGAGGAAAATATTCGTTGTGTCCAAACGGCGGTACTACAACTTCCGTGACGTCCCTGGGCCCGGAAAGACTTTTTCCCATTGACTAACATTGGGAAAGAGACGTCTGTAAATCGTTGGATAATTTTTTTTAACCAATTAAACTACCCAGTATGAACACTTGTATAGCCCTAAAACATTCGGTCCTCAAGTTGTAAAATGTGCTAATAACGTTATTCTGAGTTATTTTCCTCGGCATTATGAGCGCGCATCTGAGAGTGGGAGCTCGGGGGGCGGGGCTTAAGGGGCAACTCAACTGCGCATGCTCTGTGAGCGCACATACGGGTTCTTCTGCTCTGACAGCTAGGCATGATGGGTAATCTGTGACGTTTCGCTCTCTCAAAAGTTGGGCCATTTTGTCTTCATGCGCTTCAATGAGCAGCTCTCATAGGAACGAACGAGACCCCGCCTCCCACGCTGTGTCCAGTTCTTATTAAACATCCATGGTTGAAACCATTTCAAATCAATATCTTTGACAACACAAGTCTGCGAATGGCAACATCTTTAACGAGACATTCATGGTGAGACAGGTGGAGTGGTTTAAAGTAGGTAGTGGTTAGTTTCTGAGGATGCATGCTGGATATCTCCTGTCACCTCCCTGTGTGTGACGGCAGTGTCTCTGCAGTGTCTCTGCAGCGCTGAGGCGTGCAATCATCCTGTCATCGTGTCACCACCGCAGGAGGAATCCTCTCTGAGGCGTTCAGGGTCCCTCCCTCTGGTTTCACTCTCCTGTAGGCTGTCTTTGCTCAAATATTTGTTTTCCCGCTGATTCTCTTCCCTCTCTGTTTACCCACGCTCAGTTCTTCTTCACACAGACGGAAAAGCCAAACGCTCTCATTTGATATGACGGGGTTGCAATTCTGCCTTTTTTGAAACAAACCAAACGTGTTTCTGGTCTTCTTCTGTATTTTGTTTGTGATGTAGCACATCTCTGCAGTTCAAAAGAAGCTTTATTAAAGGACGAGGCTGGTGTTACTGTTCTTATTTCCCCATGAACATACACGTGTCTCTCGATACTCTGACTTTAATGTTCCCATTATTCTCTTTAAATTCCTCCTAAAATCGAGTTATTGTTTTCAATGTGTTCCTTGTTTCCCCCTAAAGCTACAGAATATAAAGCTTTATAATAAGTAAAGTCCTGAAACCTGCAGCTAGTCTGTGTCCCTCGTGAAGGCTTTCATTTCAAACCTTTATTTAAACAGGTGAATCCCATTGAGATCAGTAGGTTCCACATGAAGACATATAAACAACAGAAAACCAAAAGGACATCACACAGCATAGTTACAGCGACTACAGTTTACATAGCTAGGGACATTTACAGGTTCCAACAGTTTCCGATTGGATAGCATCTATCCGAGCTTTAAAAACATGCAGTGGAACCAAACTGCTCAGCTTCCATTCCTTTTGCAGACTGTTCCAAGTGAGAGGAGCTGCGCATCTAAACGCTTTCTTCCCTAAGTCAGTCCTAGCACTTGGGACATTTAATAAAACCACAGCATGAGATCTCAGGCAAGAGCTACTTTCAATTCGCCCAGAGAGCAGGTGTAAGAAGGCCGTCATCAGGACATATGAGTCACATTGCATCGAAGATAAATCCTTGAAGATGTTTCAACAAATCCAAAAGGCCTTATTTCAAAACGTCTACATCGAGAAGGCATTGTCTTTACAGGTTTCTTGTTCTGAGGACTTCTACACAGGTCTATAAATCTACATGATCAGTGTCTGGAGGAGCGTTCAGGAGTTTTCTAAATGCGTCACTTCTGCCCCTTCTGAAAATAAATGCGAGTTGGGAAACATGTTTAAAATCTTTACTATCCGTCCGAAGAGCCTTTGAGTAAAGACCTCACAATAACTCTTAAATGTTATCTGCCTACATTATCGTTCTAAACATGATTCTGACGCAGAATAAAACCTCTTCACATGATAATAATAAGTAACTGTCTTAAATGATTTGCTGCGTATCATCTGTTTCTATACCTCTTCAAAATAAAAGCACAAAATCCAGATCCTATCTTCTATTATTTGACTTTTTTCTTCTTCCTCTATCTAAACTGAAACTAGTTAGTACATCGTTATTTCTCGTGAAGAGTCTCTAACTAGTTTGTGATGAAAATGCAGCTGTTCATTTTTAAACGTTTTTTGCAGTGTGACGTCCAACAGTCTGTGTGTCTCTTTAATTACAGAACTGCACTGTTTATGAGATCGAGGAGAAGATTCTGGAAGTGGTGAGTAACGCCTCGCCTTTTCCTCTAGTTTGGATGTTTAGAGATGCAGTTCAGAAACACACACACACACACACACACACACACACACACACACACACACACACACACACACACACACACACACACACACACACACACACACACACACACTTCCTTTTCCTGTCCTGTACCCAGTGTCCCGACCTGCAGGTTTGTTTGTTCAGCTCAGGACCGTCCACTTCCTGTCTTAGATAACACTTCCTGTTGGTCACCCTGTTGTTCCCAGAATCCTAAATCAGCTGATGTTGAATCACTTTCCTGAATATCAGTTTCTAACGTGACCTCATGACCCCCTGACCCTCCTCTAATCAGAGTGTTTAACTTTGCACTGTGTTAACAACGACTTCCTGGCTCCTGATGAATATTCTGCTGCAGCAGTGATTTCCACAAAGCTTATAAAATACGATGCATTGCCGTAGATTCATCTGCCAAACAGTATCTAAAATAGTTAAAAATGGGACAAAAAACAAGTATACAATTCTATTTAAATGTTTTTATTGAATTTAACAACATCACATACAACCTTTGTCATTCATATCATATACATATCACATCACAGAGTTACAGAGTTTACTGACACAAAAAGGGAAAAAAACTAAATGAATACGGTACCACTTTACAATAAGACTAGCCTTATAAAGGGTTTACGAATAATTTGTAATTAATTTATTAATTAGGTTGTGAACACTTTACCTCACCCCAAGTGAAGGAGTTCAAGTATCTCGGGGTCTTGTTCTCGAGTGAGGGAACAATGGAGCGTGAGATGGGCCGGAGAATCGGAGCAGCGGGAGCGGTACTGCAGTCGCTTTACCGCACCGTTGTGACGAAAAGAGAGCTGAGCCAGAAGGCAAAGCTCTCTGTCTACCGGGCCATTTCCCTTCCTACCCTCACCTATGGTCATGAAGGATGGGTCATGACCGAAAGAACGAGATCGCGGATACAAGCGGCCGAGATGGGTTTTCTCCGCAGGGTGGCTGGCATCTCCCTTAGGGATAAGGTGAGAAGTTCGGTCATCCGGGAGGGACTCGGAGTTGAGCCGCTCCTCCTTCGCGTCGAAAGGAGCCAGTTGAGGTGGTTCGGGCACCTAGTTAGGATGCCACCTGGGCGCCTCCCTAGGGAGGTGTTCCAGGCACGTCCAGCTGGGAAGAGACCAAGGGGTAGACCTAGGACCAGGTGGAGGGATTATATCTCTTCGCTGGCCTGGGAGCGCCTTGGGATCCCCCAGTCAGAGCTGGTTGATGTCGCCAGGGAAAGGAAAGTTTGGGGCTCTCTGCTGGAACTGCTACCCCCGAGACCCGACCACGGATAAGCGGGAGAAGATAAACAGGGCAACTGTGACCGGTTGCTTGCCAAATAGTGAGCCCACATGTATCTGTACTGCTAAACCTTATATTGGCTACCTAGCTTACTTCGTCTCCTTCATCAGCCAGCATCCTTGGTATCTGTTGTTCACTGAGTTGATTCTCGCTGAGTAGCCAATGTAAGGTCATCTTGCCAAATAGTCAGCCTGTGTTGATGTATGGAAACTATGTTAGAACTGGTTTATAAATGGTTCTTAATGATTAATAAAGTGTTTACAACCTAATTCATAATTCCTTTATGAATCCTTTGTAAGGGTAGACTTATTGTAAAGTGGTACCGTTCATTCTTCATCAGTATAACAAATGGTAATCTAATCCTTAGTGGAATATATAAATTGTTAAAAAATATAACATATGAAAAAAGATAAACCAGTCTACAAGATCGGGAACTTTAAATACGGAACAGTTTACTGCACAGTCAATACTTTTGTTACGTTTCGCTCATACATACTTTAGCAGGACTTTTAATGTTACTGGAGTTTTTTCACAGCGTCTTAAAAGTACTTTTAGTGCAGTACATGATTGAATACTTCTCCTACCACTAACAGCGTCACAGGCTCTTTCAGCAGAGACACATACGGAGGCTCAGTGAAGGGCTTTTGTTCACGTTGTTTGTCCAGGTGACAGAAAGGGAAACACTGCAAAGCTAGATAAAAGCCTGTGAACAAACCCCCCCCCCCCCCCCCCCCCCCCCCCCCCCCCCCCCCCCCCCGCTCAGTGTGGTTAAAAACGTTCAAAAAACATGTAGTTTTACATGTTTGTCCGTTACATGCCCAGTAACTTATAAACAAGCAGCTGAACTCACCAACATGTTCAAAGGGAGCGTGACGGAGCCCTCCTGGGGGGGGCATGTTGTTTTGGTTTACTTGTAATTTCCTGCAGGTTTGCGTTTTCTTCATCACCTCAATGTTTCCCATGACCTCTGGAATAAGTGAGTTTTTGTCTTGAAAATATAATGCTTTAAAGGAGACCTATTATGCAAAATGCACTGTTTGATGTCTTTTATACATCAACATGTGTCCCCGGTGTGTCAGGGAACTCACGCAGCGTCAGGAAATAAAACCCTCTCTCTTTTCCTCCGTACCCAAATCTCTAAAAACGGGGAACAACGGAGCTGATCCAGATTTGCGTCCGATATGACGTAATATCTGAAATGTGGACCCACGGGCCAATCAGAAACGTTGCTATCAGAAACATTGCCCGACTGTTTGGATGTAATGTGGTCGGTGTTTACATTAGCATGGCTAACACTCAGAGCTAACCTGTACTGGAGAGCATGTGTGTGAAGAAGCAGGAAGTAAAAAGGAACTCACCTTGTGGTATAACCGGCAAGAGAGAAAGCCTTTGAGCTCCAGACTGTTTCAGAGAGAATCCTTGATAATCCATGATATGGCGTTTCATCACGGCAGCATTTAGTTTAGACAGTAGCTGCCGGGTCCCGCATGAGCTCAGACCCCTCCTCTTTAAAGCTTTATACCAGAATCAGCACTTTAGAAACAGGAAGTGTAATAGAGGGATATGAGGCATGGCTAGAATGATCTGTTTGGTGTTTTGAGTAAAACACTTCATAGACATGTTTTATATATATTTGTATATATCTGAGACCTATGCTATTGCCTAAAGATAGCATGATAGGTGACCTTTAAGTTAGAGAATATTATAGTTTTTCTCTTGTCATTTTACTGCTTTAATATCAGAAATGTCTCATAAATGTATCACTTTAATCACGAAGAATATATTGGAGTTGTTTCCCTTACATTTAAGACTTTAATTTCCAAGAATATTCGAGTTTTTCTTTTGGAAATGTGCACGTTTTTTCCTTAGACAATAAGTAAATGCTGCATCATTGAAGTGACGCTGCTCTGACTCGAGGGTTCCGTATTCCACGGAGAGGTCAGGGACAGACGGCTTTAGCGCCACAGCAGGTTGTGATTCAGCGTTTTAAACCAGATGCTCGCCATCACAGGAAATAGAAACGCATCTGTGTGGTTTAATACTACACTTTTTAAGGAGTGTTTAATGGCTCCTTCCTGAGGATGTGAAACTTGCTTAGTGGGAAGAGATCCAGTCAAATGAGAAGTGAAAATGAACGGATGATAAAACATCATATTTTCATTGGAAGAAATGTATTTTCCCACCACAATGAGGATCCAGTTAAATGCCAAGTATTGCAATATATAATGAGATTACATTAAACATATATCTAATATAATAATATGTACAATTTCATGTCTGTTATTTTTTTTTTCTTATTCAGATAATGTCATATTACGTACTTTAGTGCAGCAAATAATCAATTAAATATTTAAAAACATAGCAAGAAAGTGTGTCAAAGGCTCATATTTCTTAAAGTCGTTAGTTATGCTAATCAAACAAGTATTACGTTAACAGAGGACCAAGAAAAATGGCATATTTGATATAATACTGTTTTTAATAATATGTATTAATTTAAGAAACAATCTTAAATGTTGATTTTTTACTCTAGAAAATGACCTCAATTAATTGTTACCCATTGGTTTTGTTGACTGGGTTATAAAGATCAATCAATATAATATGACGTAAATATAGAAATGCACATTATACATATAGCTATAACGACATGCAGTTAGTAATAAAGGACCCCATGTCTGTCCTTAATGATCATCCAATCCTCTCAGCTCTGTGTGTAACTACATTTTATTTTGTGAATTTATTTTTCTATTGTGTGTTTCAGTCTCGCGCTCTGAACGGCGTGTGTGAGAAGACGGCTCAGGCGACCTCTGACCCCTCGAAGAGCGACCAGTCCTGCCTGGAGGAGGTTCACATCCCCAACGTCAAGCCTGGGGAGGGACTGGTGAGCAATACATCAAAAGACAGACCGTGCAGACATCTTTATTCACAGCCAAATCCCACAGTTTAACCCCAACTTCCTCCGAGAAAACGCTAACCGGTCCTTTAGAGCTGCACCGTGAACCACAATCAGCACCGAGTCCAAAACAGATCCAGATGTAGACCCAAGCAGAGAAACCACCACTGCAGGGAGGAATCGAGAGAAACCACGGGGAGTTATTTATGGACAAGATTCACATTTACATTCTCTTTCAGGGTATCTACATCAAGTCCACCTACGACGGGCTGCACGTCATCACAGGAACTACAGAGAACGTGAGAGAGGAGACGTAGATAATTAATCTCTTTAATTCACCTTCTAACGAGAGTATAACTGTGATTCTGCCTCTCAGTCTCCTGCAGATAAGACCCAGAGGATTCATGCTGGAGATGAAGTGGTTCAGGTCAACAGACAGACAGTGGTGAGAAAAAACTCCTTTAGCTTTGTTATTATGAACATGATTACTGACCCTATCTTCACTCTGATACCTTTCTGACTGTAGTATTTACCGTATGTCTGTCCTATTTGATATCTCAAGAATAACTGGAAATGATTATATCATATTTGGCTCCATTGTCCAATTAGACCAGGGGGGTCAAACTCAATTTCATCGCGGGCCACATTGGAATTATGGTTGCACTCAAAGGGCCGGTTGTAACTTTAAGACTATATGAATATTTAATATATATAAAATAATGTATTATTTTACATTATTGCTTCTGCATTGGATTATTACCGGATAGGGTAATAACTTCATCATTAACTACGTCTGAAAGCAGAAGTCTAGGGCAAATAATTGCAAGTCTCTTCGGGGAGAATGTCACAAAATGATTTAAAAAGAAAAGCCAAATTCTGGAAAAAAAATAAGTGAAATTTGGGGGGAAAAAGTAACGTTTTGAAAACAAAATCTAATTCTGAGAAGAAATTCATATTTTCAAGAAAAAAACTGTCAAATTCTGATTTAAAAAAAAAAGTCAAATTTGAGATGCATTGTGGGACATGTAGTTTATGGGCAACGTGCTTCTGTAAAGCGGCCTGTAACCGTATAATAAACATATTATATTCTTTCAGAGCTCTTGTGGGGCCACATGAAATGAAGTCACGGGCCGGATTTGGCCCCCGGGCCTTGAGTTTGACACCCCTGAATTAGACTTTGGTGGTCAAAGGACACTTAGAAATAACTACATTTCCAAGTGCAAATGTCTCATAAGATATAATTATGAGGATGACATTTTAAGCCGTTTTTCCTTTTGATTCTGACTGTGTGCTTTGTTGTCTGTGTGTCTTTTTAACAGTGATTTTTTTAAATATATTGTCGAAAACAAATATAAATTTAAGTCACTTTTCCATCAAAACAAACCCCTTCTTTAAATATGCTTATTCCTTGATTGGCAACTTCAGTTTTTCTAATAGGTGAACAAGTGAGAGTAAGAATTTCTTAACCTTTTGACAGCTATTAAGAAAGCAAATGATCCCTTATCCTTTATATGTAATATTTGATGTTTTATTTTGATCGATAAAAACATTTTGTGACCATACCGGACTTTAAGAAATACATTTAAAGTTGTAAGTGTTCAGTGCAGCTCAGTGTTCTGCTCTGTGATTGGTCCAGGTGCAGAGTAGTGGAGTACAAATATTTTGTTCCTGTACTCAAGTACATTTTTCTACTTTGACTTCTTACATGTTGAACCCAAATACCTGTACTTTCTACTTCTTACACTTTGAACCCAAATACCTGTACTTTCTACTTCTTACATGTTGAACTCAAATACCTGTACTTTCTACTTCTTACATGTTGAACTCAAATACCTGTACTTTCTACTTCTTACATGTTGAACACAAATACCTGTACTTTCTACTTCTTACATGTTGAACCCAAATACCTGTACTTTCTACTTCTTACATGTTGAACACAAATACCTGTACTTTCTACTTCTTACATGTTGAACTCAAATACCTGTACTTTCTACTTCTTACATGTTGAACTCAAATACCTGTACTTTCTACTTCTTACATGTTGAACCCAAATACCTGTACTTTCTACTTCTCACATGTTGAACCCAAATACCTGTACTTTCTACTTCTTACATGTTGAACACAAATACCTGTACTTTCTACTTCTTACATGTTGAACACAAATACCTGTACTTTCTACTTCTTACATGTTGAACTCAAATACCTGTACTTTCTACTTCTTACATGTTGAACCCAAATACCTGTACTTTCTACTTCTTACATGTTGAACACAAATACCTGTACTTTCTACTTCTCACATGTTGAACACAAATACCTGTACTTTCTACTTCTTACATGTTGAACCCAAATACCTGTACTTTCTACTTCTCACATGTTGAACACAAATACCTGTACTTTCTACTTCTTACATGTTGAACACAAAGACCTGTACTTTCTACTTCTCACATGTTGAACACAAATACCTGTACTTTCTACTTCTTACATGTTGAACACAAATACCTGTACTTTCTACTTCTTACATGTTGAACCCAAATACCTGTACTTTCTACTTCTTACACTTTGAACTCAAATACCTGTACTTTCTACTTCTTACATGTTGAACTCAAATACCTGTACTTTCTACTTCTCACATGTTGAACCCAAATACCTGTACTTTCTACTTCTCACATGTTGAACTCAAATACCTGTACTTTCTACTTCTCACATGTTGAACACAAATACCTGTACTTTCTACTTCTTACATGTTGAACTCAAATACCTGTACTTTCTACTTCTTACATGTTGAACCCAAATACCTGTACTTTCTACTTCTCACATGTTGAACACAAATACCTGTACTTTCTACTTCTTACATGTTGAACACAAATACCTGTACTTTCTACTTCTTACATGTTGAACTCAAATACCTGTACTTTCTACTTCATACATGTTGAACCCAAATACCTGTACTTTCTACTTCTTACATGTTGAACACAAATACCTGTACTTTCTACTTCTCACATGTTGAACACAAATACCTGTACTTTCTACTTCTTACATGTTGAACCCAAATACCTGTACTTTCTACTTCTCACATGTTGAACACAAATACCTGTACTTTCTACTTCTTACATGTTGAACACAAATACCTGTACTTTCTACTTCTTACATGTTGAACACAAATACCTGTACTTTCTACTTCTTACATGTTGAACACAAATACCTGTACTTTCTACTTCTTACATGTTGAACACAAATACCTGTACTTTCTACTTCTTACATGTTGAACACAAATACCTGTACTTTCTACTTCTCACATGTTGAACTCAAATACCTGTACTTTCTACTTCTCACATGTTGAACTCAAATACCTGTACTTTCTACTTCTTACATGTTGAACACAAATACCTGTACTTTCTACTTCTCTCATTTTGAACACAAATACCTGTACTTTCTACTTCTCACATGTTGAACCCAAATACCTGTACTTTCTACTTCTTACATGTTGAACTCAAATACCTGTACTTTCTACTTCTTACATGTTGAACACAAATACCTGTACTTTCTACTTCTTACATGTTGAACCCAAATACCTGTACTTTCTACTTCTCACATGTTGAACACAAATACCTGTACTTTCTACTTCTCACATGTTGAACACAAATACCTGTACTTTCTACTTCTTACATGTTGAACTCAAATACCTGTACTTTCTACTTCTTACATGTTGAACACAAATACCTGTACTTTCTACTTCTTACATGTTGAACACAAATACCTGTACTTTCTACTTCTCACATGTTGAACTCAAATACCTGTACTTTCTACTTCTCACATGTTGAACTCAAATACCTGTACTTTCTACTTCTTACATGTTGAACACAAATACCTGTACTTTCTACTTCTTACATGTTGAACTCAAATACCTGTACTTTCTACTTCTTACATGTTGAACACAAATACCTGTACTTTCTACTTCTTACATGTTGAACTCAAATACCTGTACTTTCTACTTCTCACATGTTGAACTCAAATACCTGTACTTTCTACTTCTCACATGTTGAACTCAAATACCTGTACTTTCTACTTCTTACATGTTGAACTCAAATACCTGTACTTTCTACTTCTTACATGTTGAACTCAAATACCTGTACTTTCTACTTCTTACATGTTGAACTCAAATACCTGTACTTTCTACTTCTTACATGTTGAACTCAAATACCTGTACTTTCTACTTCTTACATGTTGAACACAAATACCTGTACTTTCTACTTCTTACAGGTTGAACTCAAATACCTGTACTTTCTACTTCTTACATGTTGAACTCAAATACCTGTACTTTCTACTTCTCACATGTTGAACTCAAATACCTGTACTTTCTACTTCTCACATGTTGAACTCAAATACCTGTACTTTCTACTTCTTACATGTTGAACACAAATACCTGTACTTTCTACTTCTTACATGTTGAACTCAAATACCTGTACTTTCTACTTCTCACATGTTGAACTCAAATACCTGTACTTTCTACTTCTTACATGTTGAACACAAATACCTGTACTTTCTACTTCTTACATGTTGAACTCAAATACCTGTACTTTCTACTTCTTACATGTTGAACTCAAATACCTGTACTTTCTACTTCTCTCATGTTGAACACAAATACTTGTACTTTCTACTTCTCTCATTTTCCAAACAGCTGGTTCCTTTAGTCTGAATGTGTGTTTGATGCGTGATCATTATTCTTTAGAGTCATTGCGTGCCTATTGATTTGAACACGATCCGTGTATCCATCATTTCCTGGTCTTCTCTAAAGAAGAGGGACCAATGGAAACGTTGTCATGTTGCCGTTGTTCAGCATGGAAACATTCATTAGCTAACAATGACATTATTGTTCTATTAATATAAAGGGAGGTCAGGTACTCTTTAAAACAGCTGCTAGTTATGGGTACTTTTTACTTAAAGGTGGGGTAGGTAATTCACTTCAGAAACACTTGTTATATTCCATGGAATGCACTTAACATCCCGATAGCATGAAATGCTTTGACAATAAATACATAAAACATTTCATCTGTGGAAGCCGTGGCGCTGTAAAAAGCTCGACCAATCATCTGAGCCGGCTAAAGTAACTGGATGGCCTACCTGCCTGTCAGCCTTCCATCTGGGCACAAACTGATCTCGTGCCCTCATTGGTCATGTGCGCGTTCCTGTGTGTTGGAGGAGGGGCTCTGTAAGGAAGTCTGGTTTCTCCATTCTTACCTACCCTACCTTTAAGTACATTTCAAAGGCCATACTTCTTTACTTTTACTAAGAAGTTTAGTCAGTACTTCTACTTTCACCAGAGTATTTTTAAACACGAGTATCTGTACTTCTACTCGATGTGTGTGCTTGTACCGTCTCTCTCCAGGTGGGCTGGCAGCTGAAGCCGCTGGTGGAGGCTTTGAGGGCGGAGTCAGGTGTGGTGCTGCTGCTGAAGAAGAGGCCTTCAGGGTCATCGGGAGGTTTCGCCCCCGCTCCGCTGAAAAACCTGCGCTGGAGGCCGCCGCTCGTACAGGTGAGCCCCCCCCACACCTGTGCTTTTTTGGAGTGCAGCGGTTCCCCCCCCTAGTGGGCCATCAAATCATTTGCAAAACATTATGATTTGTGTGGAAACATTTCATTATTAAGATTTCTTTCTTGATCCTCCTTAGCAACAGTCATTACAGTCCTTAGCAAGGCAAGGCAAGTTTATTTATATAGCACCTTTCAGCAACAGGCAATTCAAGGTGCTTTACAAAAATGAAAGACATTCAGACAAAGGCATTTACAGTCCTTAGCAACGGTCATTACAGTCCTTAGCAACGGTCATTACAGTCCTTGACAGCGGTCTGTTCTTAAGCAATCATACACGAGAGGCCGTTCTTTAACGTCATTATTGGTACGACAGTACCAATAATGACGTTAAAGAACGGCCTCAAGTGTATGATTGCGATTCTATAACACAAACTATCATTGTAATCAACAATATCGTAAAATAATTTCATAATGTGCTAATTTGCTCCCAAACCTTCACTTTCTGCTTGAGTTAATCTCCGTCAGAAAGTAGTTCCTATAAAGTAGTTCCCTTGGTAACGAGAGCCGATCAATCGAACACTCCTGCTTCCCCGCTTACAGTTATTGATATAATTATAGTAAATAATTAATTATTAACCAATTTATTGAAAACAATTTATTGACAACAATTCTTGAATTAGGCTATTTATTTATTTATTTACATATTTAACATTTTGGCTTCAGAATGAAGGTGGATGTTCATGCTGCCATTAAACGTGCACTTTTTGAAACAACTCATGAACTCCATGCCAGACTTTTGTGCAGTTGGTGCTGTGGTGTTCACGGAAGAGCTTTCCTCCAGTGGCCGTTTGGCGTGTCCCGGACCGGCAAAAAGCGCGTTGCTCCACATTTGTCTGTTGTCCAGATGATAACTATAAAATCTGACATTTTTAGCTAACGATTTTCCAACGAGAGACAATGTAACGATGTAACGGCTGTGTGTCGCTATGGAAACCACTACTTCTCCGCTGCTTTCTTGTTCCAGTTTGCAGTTAGCTTTTGAATGGTGGTACTTTTCCAGTTGGTCTACCTGCTCTTCACGCATGTTGTCGTTTAGGTGCTTTTTTTTCTAGGCACTCCTCAATCCAGTCCTCCACAGTAAGACCCCCCCCCCCCGGAGGTTGAAGTTAATCTTAAATGTTTCCATATTATGTTTGGAAGTTTGTTTCGTAACGTAAAAAGGAGGGTTTCTGCCCCGTTACTTCTCCGCTGCTTTCTTGTTCCAGTTCCAAGGGTATACCGTTTTTCTCAGACGCGGAGGGATACTGACTTGTTGTGAAAAGGCACGTTCTATTTGACCGTTCTTTGATCGTGGAATCAAACACGCCTATTGACCAATCAGAGAGCTTGCTCACACCTATGTGTTATAGAATACTGGATTAACAACGTGTCACATGTTCTGAATTGACTAATCAGAATCGAGTATTCAACTGAACTGTTAAAAAATGGATAGCTATTATTAATGAATGATTAATTTTCCTCTTGCAGACAGCCCCTCACTTTTTAGTTTCTCTTGTCTGTTTGTTACTGATGGCAGCTCCAACTAATTAAAATACAAAGTACTCTGAGAACTTGATTTAGCCTCCTTATTGGTTATGTGGGTTTTTGTTGAAACAGGTGGGGAACCGCTGCTGTAGTGTCTGTAAGGAGCTAAAATGTCCATTTGTTTCTCAGCTGCACTTGAATGCACCACAGACAGACATGCAACCTGTACATCTTTGATCCTTTCTTTCTCTCTTTATTTATTAATTAATGTATTCATTAATTGTTATATTCTATCCAAACACAATCACCAGAACTTGGGCTGTGACCTCTTTATATTCATCTGAATCCCAAACAATGGCTATTACAGAAAGAAATGGCAGCAGGACAAGAGAATACAGTGAAAGAATAAAACACTGGACACAGATCGTGAATGCTTATATTGCTCTGTGTATAAAGGCAGCTGTATGCCTAACCTGAGTGTGATGGATCGCTTGTTGTGAAGATCTGCCCCCCAAAATGACCACAATATTATTAAAGCAGCTTAACAAATCCCCTGCAGAGTGTTTTACTGAGGAAATAAACAAAAACAACCAGCAGCTGTTGGCCGTGGTGACTTCTGGGTAAATACAGCTCCTCTCTGCTGCTTTCTCCTGCTGTCATCGAAGCTTTTCTGTTTGTGAGCGAGCGTTAAACACAGCAGCCACTGAGGTGTGTGGGAACAATGCATCCTGGAAATAATAACAGACAGGAAACAGTCCGAACGTCGTGTCAGACATCTTCGAAAGGTGACTCACTCAACGTGGCCTTCAGGGCTTCGTGTTGACAGGAGTCCAGGATGTGTGTGTTTAGGGAAGATAGGACTCTGAGATTCCTCTCCACTGTTTCTAATCTGCGCTTTCAAAACAGACCTGAAGTCAGTCTGTCTTTACCTCACTGTCCGTCACACCATTCAGGACAGAAGTCATCTTGAATCAACGCTTGCAGTACGTCTCCCTGTACTTATACTCGACCACCTACTTTATCGTGGTTTTCACTGTTGAATCATTTTAAAAAGTGGTACAGATGAGTGACACCTGCGTCACTTCCGGGCGAAAATTGCGGCCCCGCCCACTTTTGGGGGAAAACAGTTGATTGGCGGTCGATACAAATTCTGAAGTTTTTGCCAATCCGATCAGAAATGTAAGAAAACCGTGGATTTGTGGATCTTCAAAGAGCCCGATCACGATGGCCAGACAGGCAAACAATTACATTAAAACATTGGAAATCTACTATCCGGTGCCTTGCTCAAGGGCACCACGGCAGGGCAGGAGGTGAACTGGGACCTCTCCAAGTAGCAGTCCACACTCAATATTTAGGTCTGGTCGGGGACTTGAACCGGCGACCCTACAGCTCCCAGTCCAAGCCCCTACCGACTGAGCCGCTGCCGGGCTTTGGGGCTTCTGAGTGTTTGTAACAGCAGGACGGACGCAGTGTGTTCCTGGTGATCAGCACGGATCTTAAATCAGCAGAACTCGTTCCTCTCTGCATCTTGAACTCCTTCAGACGTGTTCTCAGGACGTTAGGGCACTTTAGAGGAAGCAGAAAAGGAGCTGAGTGAAGTTCCTGTGTTTACAGAAATACAGAATCTTTTAGAGGCGAGGAAGGAAACGAAAGAGCTTCGTCTGCGGTTTCTCGTCTCCTGCGTCTTACTGTTGTTTTATGATAAACACCCATAAATCAATCATTACCTCGTCTGCTGTGTGTCTCTTTCTACGTCAACATGTGTCCCCTCTTCTTCATGTCTCTTCTACATCAACATGTGTCCCCTCTTCTTCATGTCTCTTCTACATCAACATGTGTCCCCCTTTCTCTTCATGTCGTCTTCTACGTCACACATGTGTCCCCTCTTCTTCATGTCTCTTCTACATCCAACATGTGTCCCCTCTTCTTCATGTCTCTTCTACATCAACATGTGTCCCCTCTTCTCATGTCTCTTTCTACATCAACATGTGTCCCCTCTTCTTCATGTCTCTCCTTCATCAACATGTGTCCCCTCTTTCTACATCAACAGTGTCCCCTCTTCTTTTCATTCTCTTCTACAATCACTGTGTCCCCTCTTCTACATCAACATGTGTCCCCTCTCTTCATGTCTCTTCTACATCAACATGTGTCCCCTCTTCTTCATGTCTCTTCTACATCAACATGTGTCCCCTCTTCTTCATGTCTCTTCTACATCAACATGTGTCCCCTCCCCTCTTCTTCATGTCTCTTCTACATCAACATGTGTCCCCTCTTCTTCATGTCTATTCTACATCAACATGTGTCCCCTCTTCTTCATGTCTCTTCTACATCAACATGTGTCCCCTCTTCTTCATGTCTCTCTACATCAACATGTGTCCCCTCTTCTTCATGTCTCTTCTACATCAACATGTGTCCCCTCTTCTTCATGTCTCTTCTACATCAACATGTGTCCCCTCTTCTTCATGTCTCTTCTACATCAACATGTGTCCCCTCTTCTTCATGTCTCTTCTACATCAACATGTGTCCCTCTTCTTCCATGTCTCTTCTACATCAACATGTGTCCCCTCTTCTTCATGTCTCTTCTACATCAACATGTGTCCCCTCTTCTTCATGTCTCTTCTACATCAACATGTGTCCCCTCTTCTTCATGTCTCCTCTACATCAACATGTGTCCCCTCTTCTTCATGTCTCTTCTACATCAACATGTGTCCCCTCTTCTTCATGTCTCTTCTACATCAACATGTGTCCCCTCTTCTTCATGTCTCTTCTACATCAACATGTGTCCCCTCTTCTTCATGTCTCTTCTACATCAACATGTGTCCCCTCTTCTCCATGTCTCTTCTACATCAACATGTGTCCCCTTTCTCCATGTCTCTTCTACATCAACATGTGTCCCCTCTTCTTCATGTCTCTTCTACATCAACATGTGTCCCCTCTTCTTCATGTCTCTTCTACATCAACATGTGTCCCCTCTTCTTCATGTCTCTTCTACATCAACATGTGTCCCCTCTTCTTCATGTCTCTTCTACATCAACATGTGTCCCCTCTTCTCCATGTCTCTTCTACATCAACATGTGTCCCCTCTTCTTCATGTCTCTTCTACATCAACATGTGTCCCCTCTTCTTCATGTCTCTTCTACATCAACATGTGTCCCCTCTTCTTCATGTCTCTTCTACATCAACATGTGTCCCCTCTTCTTCATGTCTCTTCTACATCAACATGTGTCCCCTCTTCTTCATGTCTCTTCTACATCAACATGTGTCCCCTCTTCTTCATGTCTCTTCTACATCAACATGTGTCCCCTCTTCCTCATGTCTCTTCTACATCAACATGTGTCCCCTCTTCTCCATGTCTCTTCTACATCAACATGTGTCCCCTCTTCTTCATGTCTCTTCTACATCAACATGTGTCCCCTCTTCTTCATGTCTCTTCTACATCAACATGTGTCCCCTCTTCTCCATGTCTCTTCTACATCAACATGTGTCCCCTCTTCTTCATGTCTCTTCTACATCAACATGTGTCCCCTCTTCTTCATGTCTCTTCTACATCAACATGTGTCCCCTCTTCTTCATGTCTCTTCTACATCAACATGTGTCTCCTCTGTGGAAAGAGACTCTGAAAGTTTCAGGAACAAAGATTCTCTCTCTTTTTGATCCATTTCTATAAAAACCTGTCTGAAAATGAGCTGATCAGATTTTGGCCACTTTGTGATGTCATAACGATGTGTTGGCTTGTGTAACCGTTAGCCAATCAGCAACCAAGGTAACCCCCCCCCCCCCCCCTTATCACCTGAATCTCCTCCTAGAGCTCCATTGAGTTCTTTGTAACCAAATCTCTCTCAGAGGGGCGTGGGGAGGGGCTCCTTATTTTCATCTAAAGTAACAGACAGAGAATCAGCACTTTGGAAACAGGGCTGAAACAGAGGGGATTATGGGTAATGCTGCAATGATCTGTTTGGTGTTTCAGCCAATCAGAGACAGGCTCTGGATATATCTGAGACCTGTGATATATTGATGAAGAACAGTTTAATAGGGGACCTTTTAATATTTCTGTTTCTCTTGTTTGCAGACCTCTCAAGGAGCTCCGGGTCTTTACAGATCTCGACAGCCTGAAACGTACGTCCCTCCTCCTCCTGCAGCGCCTTACACACCGATGTGAGAAACACACCTCACAGAATCATAATACACGTTATTCAAGATTCAAGGCTTTTATTGTCATTCGTACATAGCTACAGTGTAGTTATGTGAATATATATATATATATATATATATACTATATTTCATAGAGTTTGTTCCTGTGTTTTTCCATATGTATTATCCAGAGGTGGGAGAAGTACTCAGTCTCTTTCCCAATGTAAGTCAATGGGAAGAAGTATTTTTGGGCCAGTGATGTCACGGACTGACACAGGAGTTGTAGTACCACCGTTTGGCCACTATCAAAACTTCAGAAGCTTCAACGTCTTTTTTCAAGATTCAAGGCGTTTATTGTCATGCGTAGCTACAGTGTAGATATGTGAATGAAAATCTGAGTTCACAGACTCCTGCAACACAATAAAACAGATACAATAGAGCAAGTAAATACAAATAAAATAGAAATAGTGCAAGGAGAGTCTATACAAGTCATTGGAATATGATATATTAGATAAATAAGGTGTAAGTTGCAAACAGATTAATGTTATGGATGTTCTTTTCAATATATATATATATATATATATATATGATTTTGGGCCCAGTGATGTCACTGACTGACACAGGAGTTGTAGTACCACCGTTTGGCCACTAGGAAGACTTGCTTATATTAGATACATAATTTGTAAGTTGCAGACAGATGAATGTTATGATAAGACTTTATTTATTATTTATTTATTATTTATGTCGTGCCAGAGTTACAAAAATAGAATAAACACTGCAGCATAATAATAAAACTGTACACTAACAGTGGAGCAAAAAGAGCAATTAAATATCTACAGGCAACAGACGGTGACATAATGAATGTAAATATCAACAGTATTTCGTAGTGCAAAAGAACGTAGTGGCAGATACGTAATTGCACGTTATTATAGATGTTCTTTCAACTGTTCTGTTCTGTTAATCGCTCTGATTCCCTCGTTAGAGACGGGAACATGAACGTGACTTCGGGAGTCAAAATGAGGCCGAAGTCTCCCAACTCGTGTCTGGACGCAGACGTGAGGCGACGCTTCACGTTCGCCGAAGATAACCGGACGACCGTCAGCCCGCCGGAACACAACCAACCAATCCCTGTGAGCCTCAGACAGAGATCATCTGCACGCTGTGAGCACACGCACACGCACATGCACGCACACACACATACACACACACACACAGACGCACACACACACAGACAGACACACACACACACACACGCACACACAGACACGCACACACACCCACAGACACACCCACAGACACGCACACACCCACAGACACACCCACAGACACATACACACGCACACACACACAGACACATACGCACACACACACACATACTGTACACACACGCACACACACACACATACTGTACACACACGCACACACACACACAGACATACACACATGCACACACTTACAGATTTATAAACATGCAAATCATTTTGGTGAATATTTATAACTTTCTTAAAGGTTACTCAGTTTTGGCTTTTTGCTGCTTTCAGCTATTAAAGCGTTCTTTTATTGAACAAATCAAACATTCATCTGAACACAGCAGGCACCAGTTTTAAAACATATCTTAGTTTTGAACCATATTTAAACTTGTCTGCTCCTACAGGTAAACCTCGTCCGGTCTCCATGCCGGCGGAGTCGTCCTCAGGAGAGCCGTCCTGCCGGCCTGTGGGGAGGAAAGGTGAGCCTCACCTGTAATCTGTAATCTGAGCGTTATCAGTAACGTGTCGCCTGTCTGTCTCAATAACAGCCGGGACAAACCGCCGCTGCGTGCCTCAGATTTTTCCCTCGTAGATTATTAACCTCAGCAATTTCACCTTCAGGAACTGTGCGTGATATCAGGCTGCTAATGGAAGTCAGAGCGGTTAAACAAAGACACATTAACAGTTTTTTCGAACGATGCTCAAACTGCCGCTAACAATAAAATTAACTCAACTGCCGGCAGCTGTAACGTCTATGAGTCATTTACACATGACTTAATCTTTCAAACAATAATCTTCAAATAAATTATGTCGGTCTGCTTTTAGTAACATGATGTCTAAACAAACTTTTAAAACTGTATTTGTGATCACATTGTGAAACAGTTTAAATAAATTACACCAATAAGCACAACAGGGCAACACAGTAGGCTATCTTTCCCATTAGAGACACTCACACAAAAAGGAACGTTTTCTCCAGACTTGTAACCCTCATCATCCCCCTCATCATCCCCCTCATCATCCCCCTCATCATCCCCCTCATCATCCCCCTCATCATCCCCCTCATCATCCCCCTCTCCCCCCACAGGTCACAAGGAGGTGCTGCACCGGTACCTGAGTAACGAGGGGATCAGCTCCATCCCAGAGGAGGAGCCGTGCTTCCCGCTGCCGTACCGAGGACACCCGTCTGTCCGTGGCGTCGACCACATCCGAGGCAGCCAGTGCTTCATCAACGCCAACCTGCACAACTCCTCCACCATCCCCTATCAGGAGGGGGTGTCCAAGAAGCCCTCCGCCCCCCCATCATCATCTGCTGCTGCTGCTTCTTCCCCTCCTCCGCTGTCCAACACCAAGCCCACCTCGCTGCTGGGAGGCTGGCTCGCTCGCCTCCGGCTGCTCAGCCACTGAGGAGTCTTTACTTTCATTCACTAGATAAGAAACCATCTCTCTGATCTTCAGGATACTCGCAGGAACATTGTTTTAAATATCTGCCAGGGCAAGACCCTCAGCAAATAGTTTGACTACATATCATTAAAAACCAACTTCTGGAATAAACCAAAAAAGGCGAACCCCCCCCTAAAGTTTTTGACTGGAGGAGTGACCGAAGTTTGACTCAACAAACAGCAGATCATGGAATACCAACTTCTGGATTAACCCAAAATGGAGAATCCTTTTTTCATGAACATCAAATTACCATTCTGACATTTCATGCCTCGAGCATCAAGTCCTCGACCGGAGGTGTGACCAAGGTTTGACCCAGCCACTGATGAGTCTTTACTTGTATTAATTCGAGAAGAACCACCTCTCTGATCTTCAGGATACTCGCAGGAATATTGTTTTTAAATGTCTGCCGGAGCAAGACCTTCAGCAAATAGTTTGACGACATATCATTGAAAACCAACTTCTTTTTTGAGCACCAAGTCACTTCCTTGACCTGAGGTGTGATCAATGTTTGACTCAAATAACAGCAGATCATGAAATACCATCTTCTGGAATAAACCAAAAAGCAGTGGCGAGCCGTCAGGGCCCTCTAGATATTCTACAAAATAATATTTAAAAACATTAAAAACTATTATTTTTTAATATATATTTTGTATATAAATATTTTTTTTACCAATGATATCTTCCCTCTAAATGGGTGGGTTTTATTATCGCGGACTTTATGACAAGTTCCGCCCGCTGTGAAGCTTTTCTTGTTTCCATAGCAACAACAACTTCCTGTCAACAGCGTAAACTCGCCTTCAACATAAAAGCATGCCAAATTAGAACTGAAGACATACAACTGCAACGAAAGTAACAAACACAATGCAATATCCTTTTCAATTTCAAAGAACACAGATTGGGTTATCTACAGGTGTTGTTTTGTGTGTTAGAGGGTCGCTGTCATTGATGCTTTTTGCACCCCGGGCCGCTGTTTTGATATTCCGCTGAAGTATACGCTGTGACGTAATAACTCTTTTTTTTCGAGGGAATGGGTGGGGGGTCAAAAAGCCTAGGTATAAAAGTCACGGCTCGTCACTGCCAAAAAGCCACCACCAAAAAAGACATCATGGAGCATCCCTCCATCCTCCACCATCTTCTCTACGTTTGATTCCTTTTTTTCTTTCATTATGACCGAACAGAACAATTCTTCAAATGGAGCCCGGATTTATTATTTCACGCCTCATGGAGCCTCTACGTCACATCCCTTTCCTTCCCCTTAGCCAAGGTTATTATATTCAATAAAAGTGGACACTGGTGGGTTTAAATGACATGTTGCACTTACATGTATGGCTTCCTCAGGATGAACACTTCCGACGTTGATGACTTCTACAGCAAAAGTGTTTTTTAATGGAAGATTAAACCGTTAAACATTACATAAGACTCAGTGAGGATCCACAGACTGAATGAAAACATGGAGTTGAGTTTAAAAAGACATTTCAAAGTTTATACAAGCTGGAAAATCCTACATATGCAAAGAGGAATGAAGCAACCACCACATCTGAAACAAACCTCTTTAGAGACACAGTGGAGTGGAATTAGCTGCTGAAACCTTCTTGTACATTTCATCATTACATGACATGTCACATGTTAGACGCTTTTATCCAAAGCGACTTACATTCTCAACACTGTGGACAATCCCCACAGGAGCACTTTGGGGTGAAGTGTCTCAGGGACACAACGACATGCTGACTGCAGTGGGGTTTGAACCTGGGACCCCCTGATCCGAACACCAACGCACTAGACCACTGCGCCACACGCCTCCACATACATAAAGAAATAACATTTTTGTTTCCATACAACTGATAACTAAGCATTTCACTGAGAATATCTACACCAGTTTCTGATGTTGATAAAAACTGTTACTGCACTTTTCAACGTCTGCTGAAAACAAGCTTTCACTCACAAAGTTTGGACCTGCTGAGCTTCCGTACAGAAAGTCAAACTCAAGTCAAAACAATAGGAACCGAAAGTTGTTGAGTCTTTAACCGTTCCAAAAACCTTCAAATGTCTGTCGCAGCCTTAATCTGTGCGAATGAAGCTGGTTTTTGTTCTCAACAGATTTAGGTTTATTTGTATTGCTTCACATTTAAGGCCTTGGGGTTCAAAGACAAGTTCAGATTCAGAGCAAATAATCCACCTTCAGTGTTTTCAGTTTAAGAATGATGAAGCATTTCCAAATGTTAGAGCTGCTTCTGCTGCGTCTATCTTACCCTCTCGGTCTCAGGAGCCGCTGGTGCCTCTTATCTTTGACTGTAAATATGTTTTATAGAGCGTTTTTATTTGATCAAATGTGTGCCTTTCAGTTTATGAGAAGACAAAGAGCTCGACACTGTTCATTCAAAATGTTCCTGAAGCTTCACAAACGCCTTAAAAGTTGCAACAGTAATATTATAAACAGTTTTTACATATTTAACTGATTGTTTAAACCATACAGGTGGAGCATGCTAGGTAACAACATTAATGACATTTTAATGAAAACAAATATTGCCAATTGCTTTTTTTATGACTTTTATACATTAAGAAAGCAGTCTAAACGTTTTTGTAAATAAAAAAATGTAATGATGACTTCGTAATATGAGAACAAATGAAATCCTTTGAATAGCATCAATCAGAATAACTTATGAACTCTAACGGAAACAATGAGCTCAATTTTGAAAGTATATTTTGCTGATATAATGAATGAAATTTAAATGTTAAATCCCAAAAACACTGACTTTAAGAGATTTTACCGTTTTCTCAAACCTACATTTTAAAGGTCACCTATCACGCTGTGTGTAGGCAACAGCAGAGGTCTCAGATATATACAAATATATAAAAAACATGTCTATGAAGTGTTTTGCTCAAAATACCAAACAGATCATTCTAGCCATGCCTCAAATCCCTCTATTTCACTTCCTGTTTCTAAAGTGCTGATTTTGGGTAAAAAATGTATTAAAAATAAAAAAGGAGGATCTGAGCTCATGCGGGACCCGGCAGCTACCGTCTAAACTAAATGCTGCCGTGATGAAACGCCATATCATGGATTATCAAGGATTCTCTCTGAAACAGTTTGGAGCTCAAAGGCTTTCTCTCTTGCCGGTTATACCACAAGGTGAGTTCCTTTTTACTTCCTGCTTCTTCACACACATGCTCTCCAGTACAGGTTAGCTCTGAGTGTTAGCGATGCTAATGTAAACACTGACCATATTACGTCCAAAACAGTCGGGCATTGTTTCTGATAGCAACGTTTCTGATTGGGCCGTGGGTCCACATTTCAGATATTACGTCATATCGGACGCAAATCTGGATCAGCTCCGTTGTTCCCCGTTTTTAGAGATTTGGGTACGGAGGAAAAGAGAGAGGGTTTTATTTCCTGACGCTGCGTGAGTTCCCTGACACACCGGGGCACATGTTTATGTATAAGAGACATCAAACAGTGCATTTTGCATAATAGGTCCCCTTTAAGTTAATTCGTCATTACATTTGCATATACTTTGATTGACTCAATTGACTTTGACGTTTCAAGTACATTTAGCTGATATAAAGTATTTTAAGTTTGGTTTCCTGCCCTTAAACAACTTCAGCGGTTCATCTTGACGTTTTCTGAAGAACTCTTGTGTATATTTATGAA